AATTCTTTAATTTCTTTAAATATGAATACTCATAAGGTTAACACGAGAAAGTCCAGAGCCAGAGCCACCGGGGCGGAGACTGAAAGAATTTTTGAGGTAAGAATATGTTAATCGGGGATGTCATCTATCATCATACCAAATTTCAACCTTGTCGGTTTAGTATTTTTCACGTTTGCTTGTCACAAACATCCATCCATCCATCCATACATCCATGGTTTGCACTGTAAACAAAAAGCTATCACAATAGTTCCAAACCGACAAATAGAAAAAAATAGGAAAATATAAATAAATATGGAAAATAGGGTAATTTTGTAACATATTTTAGTGAAATTATATAATCAGGCAAATGGAAATCTAGTCTACAGATTTGCTGTGGCAGGGGGATAATATTACGGTTTACACAAAAATAAATCAAACCATAAACCTCATAACACTCAGGAAAAGGGCCGAGGATGATAGGGCAATGATTATAGAATCTGAATTATTTCCTATATCCATGATGAATGATTTATTTTAAAACTAATTATTCCCAGTAAAATATTATTACAGCATTTCACAAAAATAGAACAGACTCAGTATAATCTAAATATATAAAAGGAAAAGCCCTCACTGACTGACTCACTCACTCACTCATCACTAATTCTTCCACATCCCATTTACCTAGGAGGCTGAAATTTGGTACACCGATTCTTTGGGCATTAAATAGGAAAACTAAGTACTGTAGTTTTTATTCTGATCGGGCTTTTGGGCTCCGCTCCAGTGGCTCTGGAGTTTCCCATGATAACCTTATGATTTTTCATATTCAAAAGGAATTTCTTAACAGCTTTTTCAATTAAACAAGTTGGTTCTGTTCTATTATGTTCAATAGCATTAAAGTTACAAGGATTACCAAAAGGGTGCAGCAATATTATTTTTTAAATTTATGACTACAGCCAAAATGCATGTAATAAGTTTGTTCTCAATGGAAATAAATAAATTAATTTAATCATTCATTTAATTTGCAACCAAAAGGTGAGTGAGCGTAGCGAACGAACTTGAACCTGGAAGCGAGTTAGCGCAGTGAACGAGCTAACCTGAAGGCAAGTGAGAGGAGCGAACGAGCTCCAACCTAAAGGTGAGTGAGCGCAGCGAACGTACTTCAACCAGACGTGATTGAGCCATGCGAACGAGCTCACTTGTGAAGTTAAACGGGGCAAAGCCCGCGGGTACAGCTAGTAGATCATAAACATAAACAAATGAAGTAACTGAAAGAATCATATACTAATGAAATTACATTAACATATGGTTTGACAGCTACATTTAAGTAATGTAAAATAATGTTTACATTCGGGCTAGTAACATCATTATTTTAATTTTATAATCCTTACCCATTCTGTTCTAATATTCGTGCATTATTTAATATGTTTGAACCAGCTGTGTGGAATTGTGAAATCAAAATTCATTTGACAGTTAGTTCTAGTTGTTTACATTTTTAAATTATGTAGGTTTGCTCTTGTTACCATGGATACCATCAATCAATATTTTAAAATCTCTCACCTCAAATTTTTGAAAGCCCACGGGGCAGAGCCCTAGGACAATAACGAAGAGGGAATAGTTGTATAATATGTATCCTCGGAGCTGTAGCTTCATTTGCGTGCAATTTGAGCCCAGTCGGTTCAGTACTTTTTGAGATTATCTCATACAAACACACAGACACACCCACACACAGACACAGCCTCTTCTTTATAATAGTATAGATAGATTTCTATTATAGTATTATATATTGTCTGTGCTATGGCTAAAATACGTTTTTATTACTGCATCAGCTAGAGACACTCTCTGAATATCTGCCTCAACCATTTGTTGTCAAACATTGATCTCGAAAATAGTGAAATTATTTTTCGTATGCGCTAATAGAGCAAGGTTTGTACTAAAAGAAAACCTTCTTTTAGTTTAAAAAATACATGTTTCACAGGAAACATTTTTAACCATTGTAGTAACACAATTATAGCCTAAAAATTTGATAAGTGATAGTTTACATAATATTTAGCACATTTGACAGATAAACCTTTTTTGATTTCATCATATTATAAGTGTATGAAAATTCACATATCTGTGTATCAATATCTACTTATCTCATTTCTGTTCAATGGAAGTTACACAATTTCAATGATACCGGTACTTAAATGGGAAGTCTTAGAGCTGTTATAAAACTGTACATACATTTTATCTTACGAGTAAATTTGCAACCAATTGATATAGTATGACAATTCTATTCTACTGCAGTACTTAGAATTCTACCACTACTCACATTAAACCTACCATATTTACTTTTGGGCTAGTGATTAATTTATTGTATTAATCATACAATATAGTGAATAGTGTAGTCATTTATTTATTTCGTTTCTATGACATAGCTCTATTTTGTAGAAATAAATTTACTGCATCTTTACATTTTACGGTGACATAGTATTTATTTTACATATAAAAATTTTAAGCTAATGCAATAATTAGTTCAATTAGAACCATTGAATATTGAATAATTTAAACATTAATCGAAGACGAAACGGTTGACAACTTTCAAACAGTTGACTAGGCCTAGTTGCCTTCAATAATTGCACTGAGGTCGGCAAACACACACACACACACACACAGTGTGCAGGCACTTTGGACGTCGTGGCACTTGGACGTCGTGCAACAGTCAAATATTGATTGGACGTCGTGGCACTTGGACGTCGTGCAACTGGCAGAGGCTTTGGACGTGGTGCAAATGATACTTCTTTACAATCCTATAGTGCGATGTTTCACGACGTCCAAGTGCCACGACGTCCAAAGCTTGTAGAAAGACTATATTTTTGGCAGTTACTGTACTTTTGGACGTCGTGGCACTTGGACGTCGTGCAACAACTCAAAAATTATGTTTTGGACGTCGTGGCACTGGAAAAATATTATTGGACGTCGTGGCACTTGGACGTCGTGCAACACTCCCGAGAAAAGGGCTTTGCCTTTGCCCCTCTTGCATTTGATTTATTCCCTAATTTTGCTTCTTAAGATTCAGTGATGCTGACCCATGTTATTTATAAACATTTAATAGTTGACAGTTAATCGTTCAGTTTAATGTTTGAGCATTGCCAGAATGTAAACAAAAAACAAAACTGATGAAAACTGTTTTAAATAGGCTACCTTTTATAGTTATAAACCTGATTGATGCAGGAAAATTACTTTTTATGCTGTAGATCTAAAATCAACAAATTGATTTTATTGTAAATTAGTAGTTAAGACACTGTCTTATACAGTAAAAGTAAACCACAACATCTTTGAAAATCAAAAGGGTATTGCATTATTTGTTTTTCCTCGGAAACCGGTTTAGAACCCAATTGAAATGCGCAATTTGCACAGCCCCCCTCCTCCTATCTTTCATTTCAAGTCTACTATGTAGCTAAATCCAGTCACAACTTAATAACTTGTTGCCACAAAAAAACTATCTTTCAATTGTTAGATAATGGATGGAACGCAATATGGCTGCAATTCTGGTTCATATCTGGAGAATTAAGATGAAATGAACTGATAAGTCTGAGATGGTCTTGAAACTTCCCCCATAATATTGTCCTAAGTCGGCGAGTGAGGCAATTAAGAACGCAGAGGACCAAATTAAAGTGAGATGTTTGGTGAAGAACATGCGCAAGCGTCAAATACTCGATATTCACCATCGCACATTCGGTTGTGACTATCGAGTAGTCGGTAGATGTTGTCGAGTGTTCGGTAAAACTATCGGGTATCGGTCAGAAAAACTTTTAACTGTAGAGTTAGTCAATTTGTAAGATACAGCTGTATTTTACTTCTCTGTTAAAAATACGATTTATAACATTAACATTTAATTTATAACATTTAATACTTTATTTTTAAACTAGCTGTTTGCCCGTTCTACGTACGGGAATCTTGTAGTAAGTTGAAACCTTTATTCAGAACAGGAGTTGGTTTGCATATTTAGTGTGCATTTTTTCAGATATGCTGGCAAAACTATTACTGTATAGGAATACATATAAACCTTCGCAAATACAATATCTGACTATTTCAAATCCAAAACGAAGGATTCGCTATTAAATGTCACCCGATCGTGTTATATTTAATGATAAAAGGAATTGCTTTATAGATCTGTACTTGAAAGTTTCTTTTGACACTGGTTAAAAGTAGTTACAATACTACCTCAACCTCAACTACTGCACATTAATGTAAACATATCAGTGACAGCTAGAAGTAAAAACTAATCCAAACAGCTGATCGTTATTTCATAAAAGTAATAGTAAACATTGGGATAAAATTTGACAAAAATCGAACAAAATTGGGTGTTTGATTGTTTGTTATTTTGTTTTCAAAGAAGCGATGCCATGTTTTTATAGCCAAAGACACTCTCGTCATTCTAGTAAATACAGAAAAATTATTAGAACCTTGATCGGTACTCTAGTTTTCTAGGAGTAGGCCGCGTAAAATGACATGTTGGCGTTACAGACGAAACCACAGAATGGACAAACAGACAGACAAACAGACAGAAATTGAGATAAGACTCGTTTCGGCTTTATTAGGTTATGAAACGTAAAAATAACCAAAAACAGCATGATTCTAAGCAATGTACAGACAAAACTGTAATTGTATTTATATAGATTGCGACCATGCTAATATAGGCTGTATGGGCTACATAATTATACACATGTTTTTAACATCTTTAATGGTTTATTGAAACATCCGTAAGATCACCATAAGACATTTATAAAACTGTTTTACATCGACATAAAGAAGCATTTCTTTCATGTGGGAATGCGGTAGTCCGACATTGTAACCTTAAAAATAGGTTTTTGATTAATTTACGTTGTAAATTCTCAAAGTTTAGATATCAAGACAAATTTGATTGTAAACTTAGTTTGATAAATGTTCGATATCTAATCTACCATTCGGTCGAGAAACCGCACCTGCTCATATCGATAGTTCGATGGAGACGCGCCGCGCGCAGTCCGTGTCTTGCTGTCCTATTCGCTGGTCCGCGTCGCGACAAATCCCATCCAGCTGATCACTTTTCGCGGAAGGAGCATGTAAACAGCTGATCAACAATGAAGAGTTCGGCGGTCGCTTTACTTCTCGCTGTTTTCATCTTCAATTTCTTCCAAACTTTTGGTTAGTCGAAAATTATATTTTTAGTTTCTAGTTGATAATTAAGTTCTCGTATAGGAGATCAAATGTTCAGCATTTTCTTATTTGTCTCTCCATTAAAATTTCTGCCTCTAGTGTCTAAGTTTTGTTCGTTATTAGAATTTGTCACTGAAAGATAATTATCATCGATTTTTATAAACAATACAACACCCTTGAAATGTAATTTTTCGTCATCGCATTTATTTGGCAAACGTTCTTATAGTGCAGTATTTTTTATTGAGCGGAGCGAGCGAAGCGAGCGAAGCTCTTATACGTCGACTTTTATGCATTTCGTAATACGCAAACTCCTCCTAGACGGCTGAATCAATCGTTTTCAAATTTTGCATGGTGATAAAGACCATATCGGTGAGTGCCAACATCTATATGGCGTTAAAAAAGTCTCTCAGGAATCCGTAGAAAAATGAAACTGAAAATCACATTTTTTAACATTAGTCTTATGGGTTGCTAGGTAACCATATTGGCTGAATTAAATAACAAGTAAAAAGTAAACAAAAGATTTGAAGTTTTAGCATGTGCTCATAATAAGCCAACTACCCACAGTATACTAGGAAATTACAAATACAGTACAAAAGGAAAAACATCACTTGTTAATATTGAGCAAAGATTATACTTAAGATTACTCGATACATTGTAGTCAAGGGTAGCAGTGCGAAGTCTAGGATCTGTTTATGACGAATACATTAAGGTATCTGCAATCCTAAAATGCTATGGGAAGGGAAGGAAACAGGTCCGTGACGTAGGAAGTAGTGAAGGAAGTAGTATAGGCAATCATAAAATGCTATGGGAATAGAGGGAAACAGGTCCGTGACGTAGGAAGTGATGAAGGAAGTAGTAAATGCGAGCAGTCCGGAGTGTGGGGACTGTTTATGACGATAAGATTAGGGTATCTGCAATCCTAAAATGCTATGGGAAGGGAGGAAAACAGGTCCGCGACGTAGGAAGTGGTGAAGGAAGTAGTCAAGGCGAGTAGTCCGGAGTGCGGGAACTGTTTATGACGATTAGAATAAGGTATCTGCAATCTTTAAGTGCAATAGGAAGGGAGGGAAACAGGTCCGCGACGTAGGAAGTGGTGAAGGAAGTAGTCAAGGCGAGCTGTCAGGAGTGAGGGAACTGTTTATGGCGATTAGATAAGGGTATGGGCAATCCTAAAATGCTATGGGAAGGGAGGGAAACAGGTCCGTGACGTAAGAAGTGGTGAAGGAAGTAGTCAAGGCGAGCTGTCTGGAGCGTGGGAACTGTTTATGATGATTAGATCAAGGTATTTGCAATCCTAAAATGCTATGGAAAGGGAGGAAAATAGGTCCGCGACGTAGGAAGTGGTGAAGGAAGTAGTCTAGGCGAGTTGTCCGGTGTGTTGGAAATGTTTATGACAATTAGATTAAGGTATCAGCAAACCTAAAATGCTACGGGAAGGGAGGAAAACAGGTCCGCGACGTAGGAAGTGATGAAGGAAGTAGTCGAGGTGAGCTGTCCGGAGTGTGGGGACTGTTTATGACGATTAGATTAAGGTATTTGCAATTCTAAAATGCTATGGAAAGGGAGGAAAATAGGTCCGCGACGTAGGAAGTGGTGAAGGAAGTAGTCTAGGCGAGTTGTCCGGAGTGTTTGAAATGTTTATGACAATTAGATTATGGTATCAGCAAACCTAAAATGCTACGGGAAGGGAGGAAAACAGGTCCGCAACGTAGGAAGTGATGAAGGAAGTAGTCAAGGTGAGCTGTCCGGAGTGTGGGAACTGTTTATGACGATTAGATTAAGGTATTTGCAATCCTAAAATGCTATGGGAAGGGAGGAAAACAGGTCCGCGACGTAGGAAGTGGTGAAGGAAGTAGTCAAGGCGAGTAGTCCGGAGTGTGGGAACTGTTTATGACGATTAGATTAAGGTATCTGCAATCTTTGAATGCAATGGAATGGAGGGAAACAGATCCATGACGTAGGATATTGTGTAGGATGTAGATGTGTGGATTTATGTATCTCCAATACTACGGTGCTTTCAGAGTGAACTAATGATTTTCCCCGAGCAAAGCTCGGTCCCCAGGTACTATAATCAAATGACGACACTAGCTTGAGGTTCGTGACGTATGAAGAGGTTAAGGAAGTAGTAAAGGTGAACAGTCTGGAGTATGGAAACTGTTTATGACGATTAGATTAAGGTCACAACATTCCTAAAATGCTACGGAAAGGGAGGGAAACAGGTCCGCGATGTGGGAAGTGGCGAAGGAAGTAGTAAAGGCGAGCTGTTCGGAGTGTGGGATCTGTTTATGACAATTAGATTCAGGTATCTGCAATCTTAAAATGCTATGGGAAGAGAGGGAAACAGATCCGCGACGTAGGAACAGGTGAAAGAAGTAGTAAGGTGAGCAGTGTGGAGTTTGGGAACTGGAAACCGTTTGTAGCAGTTTTAATGTATCTGCAATGCTGAAATGCTATGAGAAGGGATGGAAGCATGCCCAAGACATAGGAAATTGTGAAAGAAGTAGTAAAGTCTAGCAGTACGGACAGTGGGGATGTTTGTTGCAATTAGATTAACGTATCTAAAATACTAAAATGCTATGGAAAGCGATGAATACAGGTCCACGACGTAAGTGGTGAAGGAAGTAGTAAAGGCTGGCAGTGCAGAGTGGGGGAACCGTTTGAGCAGATGGATAAATGAATTTGTAATACTTAAATGCTATGAGAAAGGAAGGAAACAGGCCAATGACGTAGTAAATGGTGAAGGAAGTAGTAAGGCTAACAGCGCAGAGTGTGGGAACTGTCTTTGGCAATTAAAGTAATGTATCTGCAATCCTAAAATGCTATGGGAAGAGAGGGAAACAGGTCCACGACGTAGGGTGTGGTGAAGGAAGTAGTAAAGGTGAGCAGTGTTGAGTTTGGGAATGGATTAATGTATCTGCAATGCTAAAATGCTACGGTAAGAGACTGTAGACTGTAATATGTTAAAATGATTACGAAGCACAAATCGATACATATTTTCGATACATGCAATCGTTTACAATCGAAATTTACAACTGAGTTGACAACAGCTGATTTTTACTACATAGAGGCTAAAAACGATTTTTACTCCCTAAATATTAAAAATGCTACTTTAGACCCGCAGCGCATGCATGAAAAAATACTGTTTTTACTGCAGTAAGACAAAAACAATATAATATGAACCCTTGATGACTCCGCTCAATTTTGTGGATGCCTCTGCGAACGCCACCTAGTTTTTATCCAGCGCATTGCTGCTGTTAGAACATAAAAGATGTGGAAATATATACTGTTGAATAAATTATTATAGTAGACTACATAATACGTAATCTAACTTTAATAACATAACCTAACGAGTAGGCCTAGCCTGAGTAACAGTTTTTAAGCCTATGTTGTATTTTTTACGAAAATCCTGCTTAACTTTTAGAGGCACATCATAACTTTTACACTTTGTGATTGCTCTAAATATTTCCTCTCGGATAGAGATTTTATTAACAATGTCTTGTGTCACGCGGAACAACTGATCTTTGTATCTTAAGGATAATTTGAGTTATTGAATTTTGATTTATCCAAGGCAACCCTTCTGTTGAGTTCTTTCTTGTTAACGAAAGTTAAACAATCATATAAATAGATCAATAGACGACTATGTAGCTGAATAATCATAGTGCTCGCCTAGCAATCAGAAATTAGCCAATTTGATCCTGTTAAAGCTGTTCTTAAATATTAACATATTATAAGTAGTCATAGGTAAAGTGCCACCTTATCTTAGTAATTAACAAACACTACTCATTTCACTTCATTCTATCATTGAATTTTGCATTCTGAAATAGACATTCCATTTCATGCTCCAGTTGTAGCTAACTGTTATTCAGAAAATATGCTAAGGTTTGCAATAAGTCTTCCGTTTACTTTGGCTTGATTAAAAATATTAGTATTCTACAGAATAATTAATTTTCTTCAGCACTCTGGTGGCTACGTTAATTTTTTTCTAAAGAGAATCCGTTATTCACAGTTATTTATACAACATTGCAAAAAAGGTGCCTTGTCCTAATTGTTACACCAGGCATTTCCCTCAACATTCAACAAATCCATAGCTTAGATCTCATTAAAATAGCACAATTTTTTACTTTCCGATTCAAAACTCATAGAATTTAACACAAATGTTTCAAATTAGTTATGAATCGGCAATGCGAACATGCAGAACTTTTTATGACGTTATTTATACACTTGTGGAAAATATTAAGTGTTATTACCATCCATTCCATTATAGGCTACCATAGAACATAGACTAACCAACACAAGAGAGTTTGTTTTATCCATGATTAAAATATCTAATCCGTGGTAAATCTAAAAATAGTTAATTTAAAATGTGAAACCGCCTCATACATGAAGGAAGATCAAGAAAAACTTAGAATTACCAAATTTTGAAATTGGGGACTTGTGGCCCTAAAAACGTGATTGGCGACAGCCACTACCTCAGGAAAATTCGTATTTCGCTACACAACTCGTTTGAAAATTTAAAAATTAACCTTTGGCCTTATGGGTTGTTAATTACTATGTTGGTTGAACAAAATAACCAGGAAAAAGTAAACAAAAGAATTGTCACTACTTACATTTTTTTTTATAACAAGCCATCTACAGCATACTAGCAAATTACAAAATACAGTAAAAAGGGAAAAACATCGGCTGTGACTATTCAGCAAAGATTAAGATTACTATAAGGAAAAATAGTTCATATCAAATACTGATTATTTTACTTAGCCCTCTCCCACCAAAACATTTAGTGAAGCATTCCAAATAAACTAAATAATCTGGTGGTTTTTATTGGCATTAAACTATTACCGTATGCTAAATCCCAATGAAAAAAACAGACAGAATCTCAATTTCTTTAAAAGTATTAGACCTATAGAAAAACAGAAAAATCTTTGTCACAAGCAATTTTGAAACTAATATTTTGTTTGTATCATATTTCTATCTGCTGTCCTTTGTGAGAA